GCAGGACATCTTGGGGTGTTTTCCTGAAATTTATTGTTTGGATCCTTTAATGGGATTCAATGGTTCACCTCCCTCAAGGGTGGCATTTCTAATGGCACTGGCACCATTACAGTTTCAAATTTCTCTCTCCACCACTCCCTGAGTATTTTGAACTCAGGGTTGTTCATGGAGAGACCTTCCAGATGTGGAGCAACTTTTTCTTTCGGTTTTAAACCTGAATAATTCACTCATTTACCATTTCAAGTCTCATTTTAACTAAATGTCGCTGAATAAAAAATGGAATAAATCAGCTGAAGGTCTCAGCGCAGCCATACACATAGAAATGCGAAGTTTGAATTCAGAATCACTGAGTCATAGGAAATTTAATGGTAAATATGAGGAATTTGAAATAGGAAACTGCGACAAATGCAGTGCAGTCAAGTTCTAATTAACCATTAAAATAGCTTAGGCGAGGAAGGACAATAAGGATTCTAGGCGCAGTCTGACCGCAGTAGAGCTGCAGTTCAGTGCAGCAAAGCGCAGTAGAACTATAGCGTGAAAATTTCATTTTTTTATTCAGTTTGAGAAAAATACACTGTAAATAAATCCTGTAAATAGAAGGTAGAGCGTGAAAAAGGAAGGCAACCCAAGGAGTATAAAAGGGAGACCCTTTCTGTGACTTTTTGCCCCCCTTAGAGAAGTAAGAAAATAGAGTATTATTTTTCTCAAGCATTTCTGGTTGTCACTCCAGTGAAAAAAAGTGATATACAGTTAAGATTGCCACTGTAGTAAAAGGCAGCAATTAAGGAGAGAAATATTAAGTAGATATTTCAACAGGAGAGCTGGTTAACACGCCAGATTTCAAAGTGTAAACACAAAACAGTTATTTTGCTACTGTTAAAACAAGCAATAAAATAAGACAAAAATAAAACAAACTCAAGGGACACTCCAGACACAATCCAAATCCATTAACTGAATAGAATCTTTGAAACTTCACCAAGTAGAAGATTAAATTCAAGTTTAAATCCAAATTAAACAACACTACACAGAGTTACACCTAGACAAATTAAGAAATTTCAATAAAGGAACAGCTCCGCAGGGCTCGGTTTATCTGTAAGTCAATTCCCAGAAACTTTAGACTAAATAGAATTAGCCAAAACACTCGGATTGGTACTATATTTACAACAAATAATACTAGTACACTTCCCCATCCTAACTAAAGAACCAAGGAACAGCTTGGTGGTGGTCTTGTTTGAACCTCCCAACTGACCTTCCTTCGTTCTCTCCTTCAATGGTAGTGAGTGACCATGGGAATTTGGGCCCACGAATACATGGCCAGGCATCCTGGGGCTGCCTGAGTCACTTCTCCCTCCCAAGAAGGGAGGAAGGGTTGTAGGACCCAGTAGGGTACCACAGGAAGGGTAGGAATGGGAGCTCAACCACCCAGTGGGGGAGTGGGAGCAGGAAGAGTGAGGTCCGGTGTCTGAGCACTCACCAGGCCATTGAGGTTTTCTTACAGATTGTAAGAATATCGATGTGGACATTGATATGGGTCAAGTCAGATGTTACAGGGAAGGTTCACAGTGGTGGCACAATGGTGGCAGTTACAATCATGGTACAAGGTTTTGGGGGTTATGTATTTTGTTCAAGAAAGACCTCTTTCAGCATTTGCCTTTACATGTCATATGACTAGTTTATATCTAATATAAAAGTTGCAAGGGTCAAGGGAAGTCCCTTGAAATTCAACAATTTCCCAGCCAGCACCAAAACCCAGTGGGAAAGCTTGGAATGGGGTTTTGGTAGAGAAATAAAGGAAAACAATAAGGAGACATACCTGGTTCCACCTGCTTGCAACCATGGACCATAAGATTCTAGTCCATCCCTATAACAGTAGCGCTCAGCACTGGCAGCCCAGACAGCAGCAGGGTGGTGAGACCATATGGTGGGCAGCCCCTACTTGGGCCTATGGCATTCCTTTTATTCATTATTCTATAATAAACTTCGGACTAAACAATGTAAAACACCTGTATGTACATGTATAGCATCCACATCAGCAAACTTGGTAGGGAGCTCTGTGAGCAAATTGAGTCTTTTTACTGTGCACCCTCTACACATTGGGTGGAGAAAATTAAATGTTTGAATGATTTTATTCTCCTAAGGATGCAGAAGTGCAAAGATAATATGTATATGCATTTTTGGAAATTGTCATATCCATAACAACTCCACCTCACCTCTGGTCCACCTCCAGTCCATCCTCCCCTTGCACCTCCACTATACCCTCCGGTTCACCTCCAGTTCACCTCCACCTCCGATCTCCGGTACCTTCTCCGGTACCTCTTATCCTCATCCTACATGATTAGTAATATTACTACAGACCTCCTAGGACCTCTGCCCACTCCGCAAAGGTTTTCCCACTTCTAGTAGCTGTCGCTAATTCCACCCTTCACCTACCCACTCCACAATGCCCGATAAGGCGATTCTCTCATGAGCTCGCTTACCCAGCAAGTGGGTAAGTCCCCCTTGGGTTTTCCCCTTTGTTCCCATTTGTCTTCTATTATGTATATAAGTCCTGTACTGTAGTTGATGGCACCTTAGTGCAAAATCAATGACTAGACTACCCCCCAGAGTTCGCACCCTCCTGTTCTGAAGTTAAGGACCAGACTCCTAAGCGTTACCGAACATAGGCACAGCGCTCCTCTCCGAGTCACTGGGGCCACGGTCCCTCCACTGGTTCTCTACCTCCGGCCTCCTTCCAGGGAAAGGTCCAGGGACACTGCCTCGCATGTTCTTGACAGAAATGCATATTAAATGGCCAGCATCATTACAAACGCTCTATGAGCTCATAGAGCTTTTTGTTTTTAAATCATGGATGGTCTTCATATCTCCATGAAATCTGCTTAGTTATTTTGGCACCAGTAGTGCAAAGATAATATGGATATATATGTGTGTAAAATGGCCATTGTCATTGCTCTGAAAGCTCTATGAGCTCTATGAGCTCAGTGGGCTCATAGAGCTCATATACCTTTTGTGTTTACTAAAATCAGCACCTTATTTTTTTTTTGCTATTTACAAAATTTGCACTTTATCTTTCATCTCATTTCTTGCTCAAAACTCAACCAATTTTGATGATTCTATGTGAATTGGAAAGCACCAAAGTGTGGCAATGTAACCATGCATGTTATGTAGGGTATAAATCAGTTTTAACAAAGTGATCCAAATGAAGTAAATTGAAAATACCACCCAATAAAGCAAACAAAAAGCTGATGTATTCTTCAGATATCATCCAAGCCTTTGACACCAAATTTCCCATGGTCAAAAAGCCATGGTTATTTGGCTCACTGTCAGGGCCTGGCCCTCGTTCTGTGATGGGCCCAGGGGGATCCTCCTAGTCACTGGGGTATCTAGTCCCAGTCCAAGATCCTCAAACTCACCGAGGGGGCTAGCCCCAGCCTTCACAGGAAATGAGTTGAGAAGAAGGGTAACCTTCTCAACCTCCTGTGAAGCTGCTACAAATGGGAGCCAGGAACTATACAGTTTTTGGCTCTTTGCTGACTTTCCATAAATGGCACCCCCCCATGGGAAGATTCTGGGTGAGCTGCTTACCCAGAACTTTCCCACAGGTCTGCATGCATGTGGGATTGTGGAATAGTGAGGGGCTGTGCCCTGACACTCACCAAAACATGGTGGGAGACTTTTCTAACACTGAAACATACATTGCTACATTGCCCCACTTTGGCACTTTCCAATGCACATTGAATTATCAAAAAAGTGAATTAATTTTTTTTCCAATTATTCCTAATTTCCTGAAATATCTCTCCCTAACTTATCCCAAAATTTCTGATTTTCCCCCTGATTTTTTGGACATTCTCCTTTTGTAGAAAGTCCCCCATTTTCTGAATTTTCCTTAATTTTCCCAGACTTTTTTTCAAGTTTTTAGAAACCCCCCAGTTCCCCCTCATTTTCCTCCCATTTTCCCCTTCATCCCCCCCTCAATTTCCCCCCCCCCCATCCCCCCTTCAATTTTCCCCTCATTCCCCCCCCCCCCAATTCCTCAATTTTCTCCTCATTTCCCCCTCATCCAAATTTCACCCCATTCCCCCCTCAATTCCCCCCCATTTCCTCCCTCATTTCCCCCCTCATTCCCCCCCCTCAATTCCCTCCTCAATTCCCCTCCATCCCCCCTTCAATTGTCCCCTCATTTCCCCCCTCAATTTCCCCCCATTTCCCCCCTCATTCCCCCCCTCATTCCCCCAATTCCCTCCTCAATTCCCCCATCCCCCCCTTCAATTTTCCCCTCATTGCCCCCTCCAAATGTCACCCCATTCCCCCCCTCCAAATTTCCCCATTTCCCCCCTCATTCCCCCCCTCATCCCCCCCAATTCCCCCCCATTCCCCCCCCTCAATTTTCCCCTCATTTTCCCCCCCATTTCCCCCCCTCATTTCCCCACTCATTTCCCCACTCATTTCCCCACTCATTTTCCTGCATTTTCCCTAAGTAATTTCAGATTAACTGCATTTATATCCCTAAATTTGGTCTATATATTGATTGGGCTACATACCCTTGGTGTGTGGTGCTGCATTGGTGCTGAAAGTTAAGCTGAGTTTGTTCAGTCCCTTGTATGGTAGGGACTTGGCTATGGCTAGTCACATGATGCCATAGTCAATGCTTTTAAATTTAAATTTCAATAAATACAGGAGGTACAACAAGAAATAATAAAGGAATAATGTAGCAGGGATCCCTTCCTTACAGGTTCATAGTATTAGACCATCTGGCAAATGTGCAAGGACCTCTATCTAATCAAAGTTGAACTTGAAGGAAGAACTTTCATGCTGGTCATCAGTTTCCCAAGCAGGCAAATGATGGATGATCAACATGGATTACAAGTAATAGTGGCAGGCAAGTTCAAACACTGCTGAGTGACAAGCATCTGTGATGCAGTTGTTAAGAGCCGTTGGTCTGAGAACTAGGATTATTTATTTGTACATGGAAATGATGAATAAATGCCTGAAACAGGTTACTCTCAATGCTGGCCAGGCTCCCTACTACTGATGATGCTCTGGACTGCCAACTTCATGTGGCAACAAAGCTCTGCCTCCTCTCCAGGATGAGATGCAGGATTGGACAAGTTTGCAGCCTGCACCTGGCTAAAATCCTTCCAGAAGTCTTCAAACTCCTTGCAGTGAGTCTCTGCATAATGCAGGATGATGGAATGTGTAACACCTGTTGTGTCTTTTCCATCAGGATGTGGGTGGTACATCAAAGCCATGAACATTGCTGAAAAGATTTCTTTGGCCTTGGGGTCACTCCTTATTGGATGCCCAGAGTGCACATGTTCTTGTGAGTCATGCACAAATGCTGAAAGCAAAGCAGCCACTGTGTTGCATCTATCAGAGGCTCCTGTCAGGGACTCGTCCGGGGTCGAGGGGGTCCGGGTATAGCGTCCGGGACCGAGAGCCTGGCAGGGGGCGGATTGGGCATGCGTACTGACAGGCCCGATGCGGGACAGTGGTCCCTGGCCACTTAGACTGAAGTGGAAGGTTGTTATTATCATTAAAGGAGAGATATTGTACTACTTACCTGAAGTGGAAGGTTGAGAAGAAGGCTACTTCTTCGGTTCCCACTTCAGGTTCGTTTATATACATGCGGCTTGGATCACATGACGGGTGCCACGTCACCCTCGCACACAGCCGTAACCACCCAGGTGTCTCCGTGGGAGATCCCGAGGGCATCCGGTGCAGGCGCACGTGCTGGGCACAGCGGGAAGTCGCCCGAGGTGCCCGGGCTGGGTACATGGTGGGCACGCTGCAGGTGGGTCAATTGTACATTGATACAGAGAAAGTCGTCCATGTAGAATAAAGGGAGAATAAAGGAGAAGTAAGATAAGGAGAAACTGAGGAGGGGAGGATGAGGGGGGAAGAAGGGAAAGGGGGAGGAGGTAAGGAAGGGTGGACCAGCAGGGTACCGGGTCAGGTTGGGCCGGGTGGAGCCGGGTCAGGTGGGTGTGCCCTGACAGCTCCTTCCCATTGCAACTGGAGGAGGTGATCCACCCAACTGGAGTGGAAAGACCATGAAGGATGGCACTTTCCATCACCACCTCTGCATCAAGCATGGAAGGAAAGCTGGCCCTCTTGCAGGCATGGTTGGTTAATGATGTCCCCAGGTTTCAATTACAAGGGTGAGGGGGGAAATGCAGATGGCAAGGGCCAATGGTCCAATTACAGTAGAACTGCAGGCACTTTGTGAGTTAGAGTGGCAGGTGGCAAATGCCCTCACCCAGAGGATTTTTCTCCCATTTGATACTTTCATTCTAGGAAACTGTCATCTCTGAGAAAATGGAAATGATAGCAGCCAGAGAGACTTCCCAGAAATTCAGAGGAGTCCAGAATGTGATGGAGGCCCCATGCAACATAGAGAACATTGGCTGCAATTTGATACCATTTGGAGACATCTTGGCATCATTCTGCCTCCTTTGGAAGACTCACAGCATTGCTGCTGCTGGATGGTTTCTGCACTGTCTGAGCAGGGACAGAGCTCTGGATGCCATTTTCTAGTGAGTCATCAAAGAATATGAGATGGGACTACAGCTTCATGTTGTGCTTGTGTTCATCAGCCAAAGAGCCTTCCTGTGGATGAATAGGCATGATGATTGGGGTGAGGTATAAGCCTTTAGGTGAGTGCTGCATCCACATCACTCCAAGTGAGTCTTGAGGAGTCTGAAGAAGAGAGCATGGAACATCATCCATGCAGGGGTTCCTCAGAACCTGTTGGATGATTCAAGGGATGGAAAGCATTCAAACATCCCTGCATATTCTTTGTCCTTCTCTTCTGTAGGTGCTTGCAATATTCCTGCCACCTATGCATTCTGGATTTGCAAGCATGGATGATTCTGGTGGTCAGCTCTTCCAGTGGAGGGAATGAGACAGTTCTATGGCTTTCTAGGTACAATTTGATTTGGGAAAGCCATGGAGGCACCCAGCCATGGTCCCAGACATCAACTGAAGCCATCAAAGACAAACAAGGAAAACAGGAATGTGACAAACACAGTACTACAGTTGCCCAGCAGGGCCAGGTTGAACTTTTGAATTATAGTTGAAGGTCATGTAACTCCCAAGTGGGACTTTTTGAACTCACCAGACTACTACATGTGTTTACAGACATTTTAATGGCTTTGGCACTGCCAAAAACACACTAGGCACCACATCAGACTTGTACCCAGTCATTTTCACACCATGGGCATGCATGTGACACTGCAATGTGGTTGGGTTATAGGGTGATTTTTGGACTTGGATGCTCAATTTGGTTTGGATGCTTGACCTTTGGAGTGGGAACTGGATGCTGGAGGCTGGATGGATGATGAATGCTGGGTCTGACTATACTTCCACTGCACTGCCACTGCACTTCCACCTACTATGGAGACCTCTCAAGCAGAAGTGCTGACACTGTTGGCAGGATGCTGGCTCTGCCTGCACTGCCACTGCACTGCCACCTATTATGGAGGCCTCTCAAGCAGAAGTGCTGACACTACTGCCACTGCACTGCCACTCACTATGGAACTCTCAAGAAGTGCTGACACTGTCATGTCCTTGAGGCTGACCACACTGTAGGAGAAATAATGATCACTCTATTATGAAAATATGGCAGAAAAATACAAAACCCCTGTATGACAATTAGAAATGAAAGGATAGAAGAGTTAGAATTTTAACAAATTTTAACATGACTTTTTATGACAAATGCAAACATAGGAAATACTTCAAGCTTAGCATCAACAAAATTTAAGCAAGAATGAGGCCAATTAGGTAGGATTTGACCATGAAACCAACCAGAACACCTCCACAGAAACCACTTTCCCATGTCTGCACACATAGCGAGGCCGGAAGTACCACAGAACAAAGATTCTGAAGGAACCAATGCAAAACTGGTGTTGTGTTTATAATAAGAAAGGGAAATGACTTATAACTGGACCTGATAAAGGTAATTTCAAGAAAAACTACCAATAGATGATGGAAAAATAGTGTCAGGGATCGCTTGTCAGTCTGAGTCGAATATCACCCAAAAACCCAGTCATAGACAAAGCTGAGGTTCCAACCCTCAGCAGCACATAGAGCTATATACATGAGTGACATCAATCAATCAGGAGAGATAGGATCAAAGGAACTAAACAGTGATCTGATAGAAAACGAAGTGAATAGAAACGAAGGAACACTCGGATCAAAGGGGCAGAGTCAGATCAGGAGAAGGTGAGGGATTTACGATATATGAGGGCCAATGTGGCTATATGCAGTGATATAGTCTTACACGATATTGATAGGGTAACAGAGAACCGCTTATGCTATGTCCCCTGACAAATAGCCAAAATTCATTGACAATGAGGATGACATTCAAAAACAAGTGCAAAGGACAACCAGTAATGACTGAGACAAGTTTGGTAGCTCATTGGAAAGGGAGAGATTGTTAGAATGGGGTGAGTGCAGTGAAGGAGGAAAACAGAAATCCTATAAAAGGCTGTTCTTTCTTCTGATACTTATATGTTAGTATTTGTACTTTAACTCAACCACTGTAGCATTTTGATTGCTTTGTGTATTGATATTTGTATGTGTTACTAATTGTTTGTGTGTGTATGTAACTCTCAGGGTTCAATTCACTTGTCTATGTCAGAAACTGTATTTGCAGTGATTGTGGGAAGCAGAGCAGAGTACGGTAGCGTGAGTGGTCACTTAGCTAATGAGCTACTCCGTTGCAAGGGGTCGTGGGGGTTGGGACTTCGGCTTCAATGACTTGGCTAGAGCATTGCACCATGTGTTCTAGGCTGTCCCATATTTCACATTTAGCGGGAAGGACCTTGCGGCGATGTTGACTTAAGCAGGAATGAAGTTGAGAGGTGAACTTAAGACAAGAGTACTTTTGGGGGGAATTCTAGTCGATATTCAAACTGAGGTACATCGACAGTAAACTACAAGTATAAATACAAAAGGAGAACAGAGAAGGGGCCGGTCAGTCTGGCACAGGATGGGAGCGGGATGGTAAGTATGACAAAACTAAAAGAGTGATGAGGACCAGGGAAATGGAACAGAAGAAATGAATGGAACAGAGGATGGCAAAGTTGGGAGGCAGAATGAATAGGCCGACAATCTAGGTGCCAATATGGTGGCAGATCAGAATGTCAATATACAAATAAATCAAATGTCAATAAGGAGCGGATCAGCGGCGACCATATCGACCACTAGTTAGTTAAGCGAATGAATAAGAATAAAATGGTATTGGCCAAATGTGTCATATCCATCCCCAACCATCGACTTCCACTCCCTCCAATCCCTCCGGTTTACCTCCGCTCCTTCTTCACTAACCTTGGAGCTCCCATATTCCGCAATCACCTCGGTACCCCTCAATGGTCACCACCCCCTCCTTTCAATTTATTACCTACGCCTCCCTAAGTACAGAGCCCCAAAGGCTTCCGGACAGCTCCAACATCTGCTAGTGCACTCCCACCTCTGCTGGGCAATACACTTGCCTGCCCTGCAAGCCCACCTTCGGGCCTATCCCTCCTTTCCGTTTCTGGGTTATCACCTACCATTCTGTTAACCCCATAACCTGACTTGTTGGTAATATTCAATCGGCTAATGTCTAACCCCGTTAGCTCTGCTCCGCCATTTGCAGACCCGCCCTCGTTGTTATATATATACTCAACTTGTACATAGGTTACACCTCAGTAATAAAATCGACTAGAGTTTACCCCCTTCAGTTCTGGTTGCCAGTTTAGTAAGTTAGGGCACAGATGTGTTACTTGGCACAGCACTCCTGGCATAAGTCGTTGTGGCCGAAGCCCTCTGCCATGGAGACACTCCTTCATCTCAACCTGGTCTCTGACAGAATGGCTGAGGAACTCAAGTGGTGGCAGGAGAAAGAAGGAGGTGCTGCTACGGGGCCATAGGCAGGAACCACTATCGGCACTGCTAAGTGATGGGCAACGGTGCGATTAATGGGCACTGTAGGTGGGATAATCACCCACACACAGAGCCGGCTCAGATACCCGCTTCCAACATTCAGAAATCTACTTTCATTCATGCGACAACTCAATACGAATTCGGTACCTAAAAATAGTGCTAATTCGTACGATTCCGACGATATCAAGAACGTCCCAATCGGTGGAGATTTGACGGAGTTCTATGTTGGGCAAGTTAGGCATGGGCATGTGCAGGCATGGGAATCTCAAGTGGCAACTCAGAATTCCAGCCTCACTCATTCCCATGGCATCCAATAAATTGGTAAAAATGCTTATCGACTGTGTGAGAGTTATCTCCGGCTTGGCTTTTAATTTCAGCTCTTAATTCCGTAAATCCGTTGAGAAATCGCTTATTTTCTTTTATTTTCATATTTTTGCATCATTTCAGTTATTGATTGATATTCTTTTATTGTTACTGTTACCCTTTTTATTATTTCGCCTAATAAGGTACCCAGGTGCCATATGGTACCAATATTTTTCATCAATTATTTCTAAAAATAATTATTTCTTATAATCCTGTACATACTGGATTTTTGAAAAGAAGTTCTCCCCTCCCCCAAATTCTCTAAGGTGCTAGGATGCACTAGAGTGGGTGTGAGTGAGTGGAATTCCAACAGTAGGAATAAGGGCAGCTGTCTAGCT